ATAATCCATCCATGAATATATCTGTATAATGAGTTGGAGTCCCAGTTTTTATTATATTGCCTTTAGTGCTTTTAATATTACAGCTGTTTAATTGTTTAATAGTATATTGGTGACCCGTTCATGACTGGGTAAGAAAAAGGAATTAACTAAAAATCAACTCATTTGGGTCCTATTTTGTGCTACTTCGCTGTTTCTTTTGAAGTTCATTTGGTTAATTGTTCCCATGTCCCTGTTTTTTAATGGAAAAATGAATGCATATGACAAAATCCTTCACCACACATAATTTTTCTACCACGACAATTATTACTTCTCTCACCCTCTTTCCTGAACAAAAAGCACTCTTCTTTCAGCTTACTTTTCGACCATTCCTACTCTAATTGTTCCTTGATCTCAGAGGATCCCTTCTCTCCACTCTGCAGCTGGGGTTACCTATTTGAAAGAAATATACAGCTATGTTACCTTCCTGTTTTTGACAATTCGATGATTTCTTCCATTGCTCTGAAGATAAATCAAGCTTCTGACATTATCTCCAAAGGAATCATCTTGTCCTTCCATGTTTTCTAGCTCATTCTGCCCCACACTCCACCTCCTCCTCTCTGCTGTAGTCATGTTGGCTTTTTCTCAGTCCTTTGTCCTTGGCATGGCCCCTCCAGCCCTTGGTTCAACACACGGTGTTTCCCCTACCTGGCACGCTCTTCTGCTCTTTTTCTCAATTAGGTAAATCTATGTATCCTGCTCATCTTAGCTCAATTGTCACTTCCACAGAGATTCCTTTACGAGTCACCCTAACTCGGTCTAATCTTGTGTTATAAAATCTGTTAGTATCATGCTCCTCTCCTTTTTGCACTTATAGTTGCAATTTCATATCAGATCATCTATTTATGTCCCTTTTCCCTAGTGGAATATCATATTTCTCCATTGTCCACATATACTCACCACTGAATCCTTAGCACAGGTATGTAGGAGCTACTCCGTAAATATTTCTTGACTGAGAACAAAATAAAGTTCTTTAAGGTTTCTCAAGGAAAAGACATTACACGGTTTTTAACTACACTACATTCTACACTACACACAATATAATGTATTCATCCAAAAAAGATATAACTAGAAAGATTTTTGCAGTAAAATCATTCTTTATATCTATTAATCTTCATTCTTATCTTCTTTTCTTTGATTTTACTTGTGATCTGAACATAGAAGCTTTGATGACGAATGAGAATAGAATTCCTTAATAAGAATTTGCTCTCAGATTATATATTGAGAAATAATGCAATTTCTTTTTCTTTAATAGCATTTTCTTACTGTTCATTAGCATTAATATGGATATTATATACTAATACCAGAAAATTCAATATGTCTATGCCTTTTTTAAAAAAAGGCAATAGCTATTTTGTGCATCTCTGTTTTCTATTACAAAGGATATTAGCAAATTTTGCATTTCCTATAAGGAATATTAACTCTAAAAGCACTTATAATTTCATAGAAAAATATGGAAAACGAATCTTGACAGAAAGTTCATTTAAATCTACTAAAATTATCTGTTTTGTGGATAAATTATTTTAAAGTATGCGATGAGTTACAGGAGTAAGTGATTTTAATCTTCAGAAGACTGTTAATGTAAAATGGTAACAAGCACTGTGAGAGGCCAATGCTATAAGAGAGAGAACATGGCTTTACAGACAACCTCCACTGGTCTCCTACCAAAGGATTTTTCAGCCACCAGGTCATAGCCACGAAGCTGAATAAAATCTTACTGTGACACTGCCAACACTGTACAAGAGGATTGGAAGAAGATATAAAAGGTGATCTTGAGTAAGTTTTACAGCTAAATAATGAGACCCTCAATCAAATACCAACATTTAAAAATAAAAAAAAAAAAGCATAAAGGATTGTGGAGTTCAAATCCATTATTTTGTATATGGGGGAAACCAAAGTTAAGAGGTATCAAGTCATGACTCTAAGGCCACAGACTCAGTTGACAGGACAGCCAAGATCGAAAGACAGATCTCCTGGCGCACTGTTATTTCCACTACATTATGTTGCCCAATCACATCAGTTCTTTAAGATTCTCTAGGAAAAAGAATCTAAGCAACAAACCCCAGTTCTAGTTCACCGCAGTAATGGGAAAATCCACAAACATTTTTACAGTAACAATAAATGGGCCAGATCTTATTAGCTGACAAATAATATGAACAAGTAACTATTATCCTCTGTTCACTTAATATTCTTTACATTTATCACATGCAGATAAGAAACATTCACAAAACTTATTCCTTCAATAACAATGTTTCTGCATTACCGCAACCTCTCTGAATTAAAAATAGCAATATAGGCTTTTAAGTGATCATTTCCATTTGCAAAATTCTGGCAATTCTATGCAGAAATGGATATGGACACAGCAATTCATAGTATGATGCTACATCAGTGGTGTGTTCATAAAGCAGCTCTTCAATAAAATAAAATTTTAAAAAGCTGTGATTTGCAGGATGTGCTGATTCCTGTGTTATAAATACTCCCACAAGGGCCAATTTCATGCTACCAAGTCTGTAACAGAGTGCTCATAAAATTTTTGAATATTTAACAATTGGCTCAAGTGTGTTTCTCAGAGGCAGTTCCAGCACACTACTGATACTACGGTAAACACAGAAATAATAAAAATCAACCCAGTCTTTTAAGAAAGAGGAAACCGAGGTTTAGTGGGAGGAAGTGGTCTGCCTCAAGATTACACAGTGGTTGAGCAGGTTTTAACACTCAAAATTCCATCTCAACTACCCTCATCAATTAGTGAAACTTTATACACTAGAAATAGTTGGTGGTCTTCAAGACTCGAGAGAGTGGCCAGGCACGGCGGCTCATGCCTGCAATTCCAACACTTCGGGAAGCTGAGGTGGGTGGATCATGAGGTCAGGAGTTTGAGACCAGCCTCACCAACATGGTGAAACCCTGTCTCTACTCTACTAAAAATATAAAAATTCGCTGGGTGTGGTGGCACATGCCTGTAATCCCAGC